CTGCGCCCGGCGTGGCCCCTCACTATTGGTTGCGCGCATCCGGAGACACTGATACGGCAACCACTGGTCAAACTGGGGTAGGTAACGTTCTCAGTTACGTGGCTGGGTCATTGTTGGGTGACTGGATTAAATTGGACAGCCGTTTGTGTGCAGCCCGTTTGACGGCATCAAGTCACGTTGATTCACAAAGCAGCACTAGAAGCTGCTTGCTTGTCGTTTCCGCTTATGCTCCCACCGACCGCAGTTCTGATGCTGAGAAGGACACATGCAACCACGAATTGAACACGCTACAACGTAGCGCTACTAGTTCAGATATCATAGTACTTTCAGGGGTTATGAATGCACAAGTAGGCCGCCTGGGCTCGCTAAAAGCTCAGTTAAGTGGTAATGATGGGCTTAACTCTGAACGGACTGACAACGGTTAGGGTTTGTTGCAACTGTGTGCGGAGTACCTGTTGTTTCTTGGTAGCAACGAGTTTAGACACAGTGGGCACCGAAGTGCCACGTGGCGTCCCTTCGCAGTTGACAAGCGATAGACCCAAATGGATCATATTGCCATAAGTTACAGATGGCGTGGTTCCATCCTGGATTGCCGCTTGTTCAGATTTGACTGCGTCGACTCTGGTCATGTCTTGGTACGCGCTCGTTTCTCCATGAACATTACCGGGAGGTGCACCATGCGCCTCCCTCCACTGGCAAATGAGAAATTAACCCAGCTTTCGGTCAAGCAAGCCTAACAAGACGCATTGCGTACCGAACTTTCGCTATTTTGGCCTAATGCAGGAGCCTTCACTTGCGCACTATCAATCGTCACCGCACCAGTCACTGGATATGCGAGAGGTCGGTGAACCTGTTGGAATACAGAAGAAAACTCCCAGCTGACTCTGAGCACAATGTGACCAGACGGACTATTAGAAGCAAACTAAAGCGGAGTCTGCGTGCCCAAAAGGAAGCCAGGTGGATTAGTCGGGCTCAAGAAATGGAGAAGCAGGAGCAGTAGGTAATTATCGCAAGCCCTTCCGGTTGATCCGCACCCCCGGTCCCAGGAGATTAGACGTTAGTAAGAAAACTCAGAAATAGCGCGGGCGCACTGATGCACAATAAGGAGCGCCATATGGTTCGCTAGGTGGAGCACTTTCAATTAGCCTCCTGCTACAGGACCTGATCCAACACATTTGTTGCAAGCTGAGCCACGGAAAGTTAGATTAGAAGCTTTATCGGAGGCTGCGGTCCGAAACGCAATCACAGCTCTCAATCGTTTTATTGCTGCTGGCCCGGATTCTCTCGCACCCGCACTATTGAAAGATGGAGGTGAGGTCCTCTGCAAAGCACTGACCTCCTGTTCCAACATGTTTGGAAAAGAGAGACCTTCCCGGCTAACCTGGATGAATCGAGCATAGTAGCAATATACAAGAAGGGCAGTAGCGCAGACTGCGCTAAGCACAGGTGTATAAGCCTAACGACAATAATGACAAAACCATTGGCCTCAATTCTTGTTTGTCGCCTCACTGAGGAACAGGTAACCAGGATTAGGGAAAAGCAGATAGGTTTCCGCCCAGGACGGCGTTGTATGGAACATATATTCCCTCTGCGGTAGGTGCTAGAGCAACGTCACGCATACCGCAGACCGACAACAGCATTCCCAACTTCAAGAGGGTGTTCGACTCAGTCGATCTGTTCAAAAGACTTGTGCGGAAAGGTGTCCTCACGAAATACGTGAACATCTACGTGCTCTATAAGCGAACACTACAGGCCCCGTCAAGGTTTACGGTGAGTTATCAGATGTGTTTCAGACAACAAGTGGCCTTTGTCAAGGTTGTCCAATTTCCCCACTTTTGTCAATTTCGTCGTTGACTCCATAATGGAGTGTTTCCTGGCAGAATCTCACGATGCAGGCGTTGAGGTGCTGCCTGGTGAAAAACTAGTTGACCTTGATTATGCGGAAGATATCGTCTTGCTGTTTACAGGTGTTGGGTTGGTGCAATCAACCTCTGATGGCCTCTTTAGTGTGGTCCCATCACTTGGCATGCGCTTCGCACCTGCAAAGTGCAAGGTTGTTGCAGGACCACCAGGCACTTGATGACCCCTTGACCCTTGACAGCGAGGAACTGCAGCTGTCTCAGCAATGATGGGCGCACAGAAAATGAAGTCAGTTCAAGTATTGAATAAGCCAGAACAGCCTTCTGGGATAGGTGACAAAACGGAGTTTCCATCCGACTGAAAGGCTGTGTTTACAAGGCCACAGTGAGGGCCGTCCTGCTCTACGGGAGCGAGACTTGGTGCTTTTGATCTGAGGCACCTTCAAGTATTCGATCATCGCTGCCTGCGAAGCGTTGCTGGTGTCGGGTCGCACCAGCGTGTTCGCAACGATGATGTGCGTAGGCGAGGCTTACCAATAATGAACAAGTTAATTCTTTAGAGTAAAAGATAGCACTAAATAAGTTGTGTTGGCTTCAGCACGTGCTAGGTTTGCCTCGTCACCCTGTTTGGTCTGCAAGATGTAGGGTAGCGTGGGGCTCGGAGTTGACACAAGTTGACTTGGCAGTGGCAAATGAAGTCAGTGACGACCAAACTCGGTGCCGTCGGTCCGTCTAGTTTTCAAGGCTGAAGTCCACGTGATTCGCATCATGCTTAGTTCCAGGCGTTGCTGGACATGGCTCACAGTCGACACCAGTGTCGTGCCTGCCTGATTAAAGTGTGTTTAGTGCTGAGTTATCTGCTGGATAATGGCTGATTATGACACGGGGCAGTGAAAGCCGCAATGAAGCCGTCCCGCTGATGCCCCCTTCTCTTTGCACGATAGACAGCTGTTTGTGACAGTATGCTGTTAACACAATGTATAGGCGGCTTGACCCTGGATGTTTGCTTAGGACACTAAGGTTTCCCCCCTCTCTCTCCCTCGTATTATTTTTCTTTCCGTAAATCGATGTGGTTATATGACATAGAAACATCAGTTCGAATGGCTGATATACTGTTGTTCATGATGAAGATAGCACTGGCCATTTCAACATCCACGCCATGGGATCTCAAGCCGCCAATGGAGAACAGTAGAAAGAGGATTGGTAAGAGCTTTTCGCCATTTTTCCTTTTGTCATATCAACACTCCACCAGATTCAGAGGCAAAACAGGTGAAAACAGCACGCCGGCAACCAGTAACGACGCTTCGCTGCGGCGCAACCAGCACCAGTCGCAAGTGCGCTAAGGATATTGCGAGGGTCACCCGATCCCAACGCAGGCTCGAACCCGCGCCGTCGGATTACAAGGAGGGTTGTGATCCTTGAGGCAGAGATAAATAGGCTGATATTGAAAAATTGAAAAACGTCAGCAGTACGCCGGTACGCTTCGTTGACACGCAAAACCAGCAGTTGCGGGTCGGCTAAGGATACTGCGAGGGTTGCCTGGTCCCCTTTGCAGGTTGGAAACGGTGACGGCCGGGTTACAAGACAGACACGCATTGTCCTTTCGGCCACCGGCCGGCAATGGATTTACAATGGACTGGATATTCATGAATGAAGGACTCGTGATCAAGTGGGTAATTATCGACGTCCTTCTGGGCCGCGGTGATCATGCAGCTTAATCCTTCGGATAAATCTGTTACGCAGAACATCTCGTGGAAATTACTGTTGTGTCGGCACGACGCGAGCATGTAACAATTCGTAAGCGGGAGTACAAACAAGGAAATGGAGTCCCAAATCAGGAAAAGCAACGGGTTCTCACGCAAGTATATTGGCTCCAAACGAAAACGAGTAACCGGAGCCGGCTGTACATATCATGTTGAGCGAGGTCACAGTGCGAGCTTAGTTCAAAAGTTTGATCGAATAGAAACGGTCGAGTGAATAGTCCAATCGATAGCACCTACTGTACCCCGACTCCTAAGAGCAGCGTAACCAGGACCTTTAAATATTTTCCGCGAAAAGGATCTGGGCGTTTTGAATCAGGCCAACCTTGGGTGTCCGAATTAAGCTGAGAAGGTATCAAAAAGGGGCATTCAACACGTGGGTCTCCTGCGGCGTGTATCTCAACGCCCGGACTGGTTGATTGTACAGCAGCTTCTCTAAGCATACGTACATTCACATGTGGAATACGGGAAACAGGTCTGGCAACCATTGCTGAGGAGACATCATCAACTTAGAGAGTCCTCAATGTCTGGCAACCAAGAAAAGCAAATGTTTGTACCGTATACTCTACGAACAAAAGATGAGTGCTCGTGATCTTCAGCGTACGATGCCGGCGAATGCGTTGGTACCTTAGGTTGGCGTAGCAGATTTCGAGGAACCCCAATCACAAGTGCCACCATGTGCTGCAGCTCAGTCACAACAGCAATCCGTGAGGCCACCATCTCAAGCTCGCAAAGCAGTAGTCGTTTGGAATGCTGTCGGAATTTCTGTTTCGCCTGAAATGCTCTCCCGGAACCTGTCATCTGCGCGCTTACGCTGGTGGAGTTTAAAGCTCGAGTTGACAGAGCACTAATTTCCCTAAAACAGCACTCGGCTAATTCCCCAATGCCAAACACGAGTGTCGGCTATACATTTCGTTACTGGTCAAATCAAAGAATACGTCCCGTCTTTTTCACATCTTGCCTGTGTTTAGCGGGTGACACGGCCTATACAAATGTCCCAAAAGTGTTATACAAAGGTGGTCACTTTTCATGGATTTACAGTGGAATTACAGTTTTTAATGTATATACCTCGGTGAATGCACCGTTGCGAAAGTATATTTTGTTAACATTTTTCCATATTTGCGATATTCAACCTGACCATAATACGAGACCTGTTAAACTTTAGCTGTCTTACCTGTAATAAACCATTGTTTCAATGTGCCGGGTCACCGATGGGCACTTAAAAGCGCTTTAGTAAAAAAGCCAAATTATTAATGGTTGTCATCTCTAGAAGAAAAATGAAGGGATTATAGGCGCATTCAAACGCCAACTTGGGTGGACAAACGGGAGTAGCAAACAGTGAAACAACCACTGTATCAAAAGATCTTTTCAAATGACTTACTTAGTTAATACTCTGCGTTCTTCTCCAAATGGTGTACGACTATGATGGTCCGCTTGAATACCACGTAAATGTACGGAGGCAATGGGTGTATAAGACTCCTCTGTGTTAATTTCTTCCATAGACATCCGTTCATTTATCCAAACAAACGGGGAATGTACAGCAGCACAGTCACGATGGCGCGATTTGCGTCGTGCACGAGAAGTGTTTTGGTCCTTTCTGTGGGTATCGGATGTGGACACTCTGGAATCGAGAGAAATGAAGACTGCTCCGTCTGCGGAAGCGCGATGTCGATGTTGGGCGGGACTGCTGGTTGACTCAACGTTGGATGAAGTGAGGTTCGGTTCTATCTGTTCGGATACAACTGTACAAACAGACGATGCATTTGAACAGGTTAGAATAAAAGGGCACGCCGCAGTATGAAACGCACTACAAATATCTGAGGTCGGGTAGCTGGCAATAAATAACCGTTCAAAAAGTGTCTAGTGAGCTTACTTACGCCAGTAAACTTCCACTTAATACAAAAGTGAGGGTTAAGTAAAACGGAATGCATCACGAACAGACTCAAGAAGACAGCGACCAACGTCTGAAGAAGCACCACAAAATCAGCTGGCAATCTCGGGAATCAGTAGTAATGACTGGCGGAAAACCATCAGCATACGCTTCCCACACACTTCGACATAGTTCGCAATGGAGTTTTTAGTGCTTCACCAAGATCTTAGTAGCTGCATGGAAAGATCAAGTTGTGAAGGATCACATTTAAGTTAGGGAGTTAAATTGAAGTACACAAGTGACGATAACGGAACATAATCAGTGCCACGGTGACGTCGTAGTTACTAAGAACACATTAAATTGATAAGCACAAATGTGGCACGAACGAGCAGCGCAAGAGTTCACAAAAATAAGGTGCTAGTGAAAAATGTGGGTCTGGGAGAGCTGGGGTGGTGACAAAAATGGGGGAACCGCAATTTGAAATATTTTTAAGCCAAATAACAGAATACGATATCGCAAATGAAATATAAGAGGAAGGTAAGATGTACCACCGCCCGCACATTAAGGGGATTCTCAAAGAGTTATCGATCCACGTTCAATAGTTTGCTTCCACTCTTGACACGCTTAGAAATAGAGAGCAATTGATTCGTAGATTTTGCCATAAATGCAGGAAAACATGGGACATCTGATATTGGTTACCGTGGTGTATTTAGCAGACGATATTGTATTCTCAGCACTGAGCAATTGTGCCTTGGTGTCCTCTGTGGATCAAAGAAAACGCTAACTAGAGTGCCACTGCATAGGCCGACCATCATCATCATCATTATACACGTTAGCTAGAGGTGGGAAACACCTCAGCTACTGTGCCGCAACACATAAGGAAAAGGAAAATAAACACAACAGTTGAATGCCAGCTGAGCTACCCGCAACGGATGTGCATCGTTCCGGTAAACTAAAAGCCGGCTACTAGGCAAAAAGAAAAATTATTATGTAAAATTATATTACGCTACGAAATGAGATCGTGGTTAGAGGGGGAGACTAAAAGGGATGGGGAGGGACAAAGAAACTCAGAACACGAACGCCACTGAGGTCGGCTCCCTGACATGTCAGCAATTGTATCTAGCCAACCGCGTGCCAACCAAAGAGGACAAAGAGCAAAGCGATAAGGATGTTAACACGTTCGTAGTGAGTGAATGAGTATACCAGCTGAGGCACTTAAGTAGATAATCTGGTTTAGCACGGTTGGACAGTTTCCCCAGGCTTAAGTGGCTGAAACGCTGAAAAATGCCGCAAGGAGCCAGGTTACTGCATCGTGAACCCCATATTCAGATGAGCGAATTATCCTACTAACAATTTATGACTAGTTCATTGTGATAACAAATTTCAGTGGTCGCACCGCCTGGCTTTTGTGCAGCTGCTCAGTTTAAACTTTAATAACGAAATGAAAGGCACTTAACTTTATGCCTATTACTCATCAAAGATAGCCATGCAGTAAGTAACAAGTTGTGATTTATTCGTTACTAAGGGTTTTTTGCAATGCGTTTAACATTCGCTGAATTTGTGGAATTAATACTGCCTGGTCTGGTTGGTCGTGGCACCTACCCATGAGTAATTGTGTTTCCTTGTTTATGAATAAAATTAAAGAACTCATTTTATTGCTATGAATTTCTACAGCCCAGACAATAAAGCTTGCTCAGTGATGCGCCTTGCTTCTTGTGTCATTCTAATGCAAAGCAAACCGTATAATGAAAAGTGTAAAAATCTAGCAACGCGCTCGTGAACACGAATTGTTTTAACGAGAGCCACAGTTGTGGTGACAACCTAAAAACATGCGTAATTTAAACCAGCTAATAGAGTTAAAATAGCTGTGGTCTAAGCAAGGAAAATCGATGGATGCAGCTGTCATGAACCGCGTCAACAACGTTTTGAGAATGAAGTATGACTTAAAGAAGAGAGGAATGTAAACGGGATCGGAAGATAAAAAGGTGGGTAAAATCGATCACGCAGGAATGCAAACGATCGATTATAATACACGAAATACAGGAGTAAAACTGGCTCCGTGAATGTGTCATGTCGGATTAAGTCTCCAGATGCTGATGTGCACGATCCCGACGACTCTATCAAGGAAATAAATCACTAACCCGACTCAGTAGGCCCAGAAGCAACCACACAACTCACAATAATTTTATGGATTATTCCCTTCATGGTTCCGTTCAATCATACGAAGCACGGCATAAACTACTCCGAGACAACCGGTAGTGGAAGTGCAAGCTGAATGACCAAGTCAGTCTAGTCAGCTACAGCTCAATGTATGGTAACCAGTGACATCAAGATTGTGTCCAACCTCAATGCGCGGCAACCAGAAGGGCTTACGTGCTACCTACAAAAATATTCAAGTTCAAGTGATTAAGGACTTAGTCACCAATATAAAATAACGATTTTTCAGACACATACAGTAACCTCGGCCGTATCGCGGCCCGCATAGGTGACCGGGACTATGGAAAACCATACTGACCCTGTGAAAACGTAGTGAGTTAGGTGGTTAGACTGCTTGAAGTTATAGGTACTCCCAGATAAGTAATCGATTAAACATTTCGAGTGCCGTCGGTGATAAGCAAAACGGGCGATATGTCAGCCCAGTCCTGCAACAGTTTTGTATTCTATGGGTGAGGACATGTCCAAACGTTCAATGTGGAACGTCCATAATCGCTCATGTGGACAACAACAGCATATCATCCATTTGAATTGATGCTTCGCTGCAGTGACTAAATGGAAACAAAAGATTTCGTCCCTAACCAATAAACTTGTGTAGACGCAATTCTTTAGTGTCATCCGAGACACATTGTTGATTGAATGTTCAGTCTGATGGTGATGTGCCGCGACTGAATGCATTCACCTTGGCAGGCTTGTAGCAGCGAGCGAAATGATTCAATCCGCCACATTTGATGCGAATTCGGCCCCACGTCGGACATTGATCACGATGCTTCGGGTGTCCTGCGGTACAGAATTTGCGTGTTTGGGTAACATGTTTCGTCGTTTTCTTAGGCAAGCTAGATATGGCGTATAGCTTTGCACCAGTCGATGACCGCATTTGCTGGATGTGGTGTCCAGCTGAATAATCACTATCTGAGCGATAAAAACTGTTGTCGCAACAGCTGCCTGGTGATGTTTTCATCAATGATCTCCAACACGACACCCTCTCGGATAAGGCTGTCAACCATACACCTGCAAAAATTACAGGAACGAGCAAAAATCGTCAGCTTCGTAAGGCAGTTCTCGGTAAATTCGTTCGGACATCTGTTTCAAGTGAAAAGAAGATGCCGCGGACACCTCTCATTAATATGGCCTTTACAGAAATCGCCGAATTTTCGGACGTCGCCAGATCTGTCGGGGCCACGTCCTTTTCGTACTGCGTCGACTGCAACACGCGGCGTGCTCCATCTTCAAATGTGCGTCGAAACATCGCCAGGCGATACGCCATCCGTTGTTGGATTAGACACATCAGTATGCAGAAATCGAGCCACTTGCTTTTCTGAATTAACCAAGATGTGTTTCGCCATTTTCAATGGAGCAGATGTTTGCGCCGCCGGTAGCGCCCCAGGCAGCAACTGAGCGCCATAGCGGTGAACTAGCTTTTCTCCGACACTGCCGAAGAACTCTGTCCTTCAGGAATAAACGGCTCATTAGACAAAGTAACCAGAGCGAAAATGACAGCATAACAAACCTGCAGATGCATAGATGTATATAGCTAGGTAGCTTCTAACACTAACGACGCCTCTGTGCTCATGAGATTCCCCCTTAGATTCGATCAGACTCACTCCAACGCAGGCAAATATTAACCAATCAGGTAGACACGGAGACGTCCAATCATCTTCGTTGGTGGCAATCTAGCTGCCTGCTTCATCACGTAAATCCGTCTCGTCCTTCTGATTGCAAACTTCCAGCACACAAGCAATGTTTGTAGTGATTCCAAAAACAATGGCTGTGTAGTAGTAATGGGCTTGAACATGAGCTAATTAGATAAAGCACAGGACGTCGCACGATCGGTAATAAGGACAGGACCAAAAGTGAGTTACAGCTGTGTCCGCCCAGGTGAATCCGTCGTGCGGGTAGTTGACGAGACCGGATGACACATTAACTGTAGACGATAACTGTGCGGTCGGAAAAGGACGGAGTATGGTTATCATGAAATAATGTTGGTTCAGTTTTCAGTAAGATGTAGTGGATAACCATGGATAAATTTCAGTAGGTGTGAAGAGTATCATAGCTGTATACGAACACCAGCCCATGCAGTTGAAACAAAAACGCATGGCAAGTGAGAAGTTATTGTAGCTTAACAGGACGGTACAATTCAGTTAAAAAACATTATCGGGCATGGAAATGAGGCGAAGGTAATTTTCTCGACTCATGCCTCCGAAACAACAAATAACGATGACGAAAAGTAAGGGAAAACAAACAATGGGAAATAAGAAACTGGAAAAATGAATCACGAAGGAATATGAGCGGCTGGGTTCAAGAAAGCAAATGGAAGAGTGCCACTGAGGCTGCGACTGCACTACCGTTTGCCCACATTTAAACCCCCTTGAAGTAACACGACATACAAACCTGACCAGGTCTCTTGGTCAAATTACTGCTGGGGTTATACCAAGTCATGCATTGGGTACCTTGCGGTTTCACCATACTAGGCGCAGCGATAGCATATGGTACGAGCAAAAGAAACAATCGACGGACATACAGAGGACGTGACAAAGCCAACGTAAGTGGTTTAACTTTACCAGCTAATCCAAAGAGGTTTCAGTGGATTTCCTTCAAACGCAAACTGCTCGTTGTTCCTACCAGATATGATCAATACTCTGAAAAACACCAATGGTC